TGCCCAAAACAATAAGGAAGCTTCAATCCAAGAAGAAATCACTTTGGCGGAAAAACAAATCTGGTCACGTTGCCAACTTCAAAAGCCGATACAAAAATTTATGCCCCCAGATAAAGACTGAATGCACCAATTATCACATTAAACAAGAAGAAAACCTTCTACACACCAATTCCTTCCACGCTTTTACAATTTCGTAAACAACAAACTAAAAGACTCAAGGTCCATCCCACCCATGAAAGGACCTAATGGTAAAGACTGCAACAACGACACTATTAAAGCCAACCTCTTTAACACATTCTTTGGCTTAGTATTTGTAAACAGCAATGGATCATGCCCAGTATTTCCTAGTCGAACCACAGACAACTACAAAGATCTAATACATATCGATTTTACAGAAGACAATGTTGAAAAAGTACTATGCAATCTAAAACCATCTCTATTGGATGGGATGGAATATGTGCCTACTTCTTAAAAAAGCTATCCACTGCCATAGCCGAACCTCTAAGCATAATCTTTGAAAAATCTTTCAGGACCAGCTCCTTGCCAAAACTATGGTCACAAGCCACGGTCATCCCCATCTTCAAAAAGGGAGACCCCAGCCTAGTTGCAAATTACAGACCAATCTCTTTATGCTGCATCACCTGTAAAGTCATGGAATCAATTATTAACCAATCCATCATCTTCCACTTAGAAACAAACAACCTACTCTCTAATAAACAATTTGGTTTCAGGAAAAAAACTATCATGTAATCTGCAACTCTTACACTGCAAAAATATATGGGCTACACAACTTAATCAGGGCAAAGCAATAGACACAATCTACATAGACTTCTGTAAAGCCTTTGATTCAGTGGTACACGACAAACTACTCCTAAAACTAAAATCTTACGGTATCTCTGGACACCTGCATAACTGGATAGAAGCATGACTGTCAAACAGACAACAAATGGTCAAAATTGGGAGTGTCCTATCAAATTCTGTACCTGTCAACAGTGGTGTCCCCCAAGACAGTGTTCTAGGACCAACTCTTTTCATACTCTACATAAATGACCTCTGTGATCATATTAAGAGCAACTGCATTCTCTTCACTGATGATGTAAAGCTATTCAACACCACAGACAATACTGCTACTCTTCAAAAAGACCTTGACTATGTATCAGAATGGTCAAACAAATGGCAACTTCAAATCTCAACAAATAAATGCTCTGTCTTACATATTGGCAAAAAAAAAATCAGAAAATAAAATACAGGCTGAATAGTCAAGACCTTGTTGATGATCCAAACTCTGTCAAGAATCTTGGAGTACTCATCTCTAATGACCTAAGCGCTAGATCCCACTGTAACTACATAGCCAAAAAGGCATTAAGAGTTGTTAACCTTATCTTATGTAGCTTTTTCTCTGGTAATATTACACTACTAATTAGAGCATACAAAACATTTGCTAGACCAATACTCGAATACAGCTCATTAGTCTGGAACCCGCATTACGTATCTGATATTAACACAGTTGAGAAAGTCCAGAAATATTTCACAAGAAGAGTTCTCCACTCCTCTATTCATTGCAGAATACCTTATGCCACCAGACTCGAAATTCTAGACCTAGAAAACCTAGAACTATGCTGCCTTCAGTCCGATCTAAGTATAGTATATAAAATCATACGTTGCAATGTCCTATCTGTCAATGAATACTTCAGCTTCAACCATAACACAAGAGCAAACAATAGATACAAACTCAAGATTAATCGCACCAAACTTGATTGCAGGAAATACAACTTCAGCAACAGAGTGGTCAATGTCTGGAATACTCTACCTGACTCTGTGGTTTCTTCCCCAAAACCCAAAAACTTTAACCTTAGACTGTGTACTATTGACCTCACCCCTTTCCTAAGAGGTCTGTAGGAGGCATTCATAAGCGCACCAACGTGCCTACCATCCCTGTCCTATTGTTTCTTTTATTTTTTTATTTTTCTTATATGTATCCATGTATTCATAATTATGTTTTTATTTATACCTATTATCTTGTAAGCAATTGAAAAAAATAAATAAATAAAAATAAATAAATAAAAAATAAAAGTCAATCCACTATTCCCTGCAGCTGGCAAGAGATGCTGTACATCTGGAGCAGAGGTCTCCAAACTTGGCAACATTAAGACTAGTGGACTTCAACTCCCAGAATTCTCCAGCAGTTCTCCAGCATAACTGGCTGGAGAATTCAGGGAGTTGAAATCCACAAGTCTTAACATTGCCAAATTTGGGGACCCCTGATCTAGAGGCAGCCTAGCAAATGCGCTGCTTTCAAGTCAAGGGGTAGAACCAGCCAAGTTATATTTTGTTATCTGAATCTGATATAAAAACAAAGTGTCCTATCCCATGCAGCAAATATATTGAATGACTAACACTGTCTTTGAAAAGTTGTTATGTGTGCCAGATTCCTATATTTCTATACTTATCTTCTACTTACTGGGATTCTATGGGTTCCTCTGAAACCACTGTATGTCCCTTGGTATTTCAACCACCAACAGAAAGCCAGATACACCAGAGCCAAGTTCACATTTTTGCTTATTCTACATTATAATGGGAGTTATAATGGAGTTAGGATTGGAGGGGAGGAATACTCAAGTTGGTGTACATTGGAAGCTTATAGGTGGTCCTCCATTTTTTTACCATAATGGAGCATGCCCATTACACTCATAAGTCACGATGGTCATAAAGCAGGTCGTGTTTGTGATCCAATGTTATGACCATTTTTGCAGTGGTCATTAAGTGAATCCCTTGTTCTTTGTGGGAAGTTGCCAAAACTTGGAAGTAAATGCTGGGTTTTGGCAAAAATGACATAAACCATGGTCACTGCAAATAGCCATAAATAGCTGACAACTATATGTATTTACTTCCCTTCCGTGATTGGTCTGCTTACAGAAAACCAGGGCAGTAAAAGAGCATCAAACAATAAAGATGGGAACAAGGAATATTTATATGGCTTCAGCAGCCAAGAATGCTCTCATTAAAATACATACATACATACATACATACATACATACATACATACACACACACACACACACACACACACACAGCTCAAAAAAATAAAGGGAACACAAAAATAAGACATCCTAGATCTGAATGAATGAAATATTCTTATTAAATACTTTGTTCATTACATAGTTGAATGTGCTGACAACAAAATCACACAAAAATTATCAGTGGAAATCAAATTTAACAACCCATGGAGGTCTGGATTTGGACTTACACTCAAAATGAAAGTGGAAAAAACACTACAGGCTGATCCAACTTTGATGTAATGTCCTTAAAACAAGTCAAAATGAGGCTCAGTAGTGTGTGTGGCCTCCATGTGCCTGTATGACCTCCCTACAATGCTTGGGCATGCTCCTGATGAGGTGGCGGATGGTCTCCTGAGGGATCTCATCCCACACCTGGACTAAAGCTTCCCCCAACTCCTGGACAGTCTGTGGTGCAGACTTGGTGGATGGAGCGAGACATAATGTCCCAGATGTGCTCAATTGGATTCAGGTCTGGGGAACAGGTGGGCCAGTCCATAGCATCAATGCCTTTGTCTTGCAGGAACCGCTGACACACTCCAGCCACATGAGGTCTAGCGTTGTCTTGCATTAGGAAGAACCCAGGGCCAACCGCACCAGCATATGGTCTCACAAGGGGTCTGAGGAGCTCATCTCGGTATCTAATGGCAGTCAGGCTACCTCTGGTGAGCACATGGAAGGCTGTGTGGCCCCCTAAAGAAATGCCACCCCACACCATTACTGACCCACTGCCAAACCGGTCATGCTGGAGGATGTTTTTTTCTTCTCCCGCTAGTTGTGTAGCTTACTGAAGGTGAATTTAAACCATAGAATAGCTGAACTTTGCCAGCTGCAGATGGTAGTTCTGCCACCAAATTACAAATTGTCCAAAGCTTCAGATGACAAATTGTTTTTCATGGGGGATTTTTTTTTTCCTTTTCGGGGTAGCAGCACATTTTATCTACTCCTATCTCATTTTGCCTACTCCTTAGGTGGCTTATGGATGTTGCCAATTATATAGCATCTCTTGCTAGCACTACCATGGCCTTGGGCTGCCAGGATAAGGACTTTTCTGCCAGGATAAGGACTAATAGGTAACATTATAGCAGGACTGATTAGCTGTGCCTATTGGGAAGGATATTTTGGTTTTATAGGGGAGGTGTATATCTTTTTTCTTAACTAAGCCTACTTCAAACTGTACAATACAACTCTCACGTGGCTCTCTCTGCTCAGATTGCTTGAATTTCAGCATCTGTGACTACAAGAGTTTTGGGTACATGAATAAATGGTTATCCTTTTCCTCACCTTCTGTCCACAAATGCGTCTGGATACCCCTCCCATCATCTCCGAACATCATCCATGTGGTTAAGGATTGGAAAAGTTAGGGGTCCTTAATGCTCACGGAGCTTGCTTTCTTGCATGTTTCATTACCCAAACTAGGTATCATCATCCTCATCTGATGTTCGTTTGGGCAACAAAGTATCTGCAAGAAAACAACCAAGCTCAGAGAGCACCAAGGATCCTTCATTTCAACCTTGACATACTAATATCCTTTATTGTTTAGAAAAGTTGTCTAGAATATCGGGTCGCAACAGACACCTCAATCTAGGTTTTTTTCCTGCCCCCCTGCTAATAATTTGCTAGTTGCTAATAATTGCCAATAACCATTTGCTCCGCAGCTGCAATCCTGTTCCCCGCTACCTGGGGCTAACTTCCAGTTAACTACGGAGAAGCAAGCCATTCTCCTTCATGGACTAAGAGCTCTTGGTAGCGCCTCTTATTCGGGTTCCGGCCGTCCCAAAAGAGAGTGAGGGGCCGGCGCTGAGTAAGCGCAGATGGGCCAGGCCGGGAGAAAGAGCGGTGGGGGGGGGGGGGGGAACGGCTCCTATCGCCGAGGAAAGAGTTAACGGCGCTCGAAACCTAACACCCTGCGGAGCCCAAAGAGGGGAGAAAAGGGAAGGGAGCGTGAAGGGATAGAGTCTCTTCGGCGGGATCGGTGGTTGGAGGCGCCTGTGTGCCAGCAAGAAGCTGTGAAAGAAACCCCAGGCAGGCTTCGCGAGCAGGAGGGACTGAGCAGCGAGCGGAGGAGCAGAAAACGGCTTGCTCTAAGGACCTGCGGCGACGTGCATCTCCACTGGGGTGAGCCTCCCGGGTTGTTGCACTGAGGGAGTTAGGGGACCCGCGGGCGCCCGACCTCACGGCAGATGGCAACCCTCTTCCGCTTCACCTTCCTCCCTCCCGAGTTTGCATACTCCCTAGTAATCAAATGCCAGCGATCAAACGCCACCCGGCTTCGGCGTCCCTCCTGCCCTCCCCCGTCGCGGCGTTTGCAACTCCGCCAAATACCCCCTCCGCTCAGCTCGGCTTTCCGGAGCGCTCGCCGACTTTTCCCAGAGTGAAAACGGAAAGCAACGCTTCAGTGTCTCGGAAGGTCGCCTTCTTAAAAGGGACGGTTTAGGTGAATAATATCGGTAGTAATTTCCAGCATCCCTACACAAGCACGAATAACAACGCCGCGATGTATACTAAAGCAGATTGATCCACTGGCGTTTGATTTGGGTTACTGTTGTAGATGTCGTACGTGGGGTTCTCCTCAGTCACATCCTCGGGATGCAGAGGGTGTGTGGAGGGTGTGTGTGTGGAAAGGCTTGGACAGTGGCCCAGAATGAAAGCATAAAGTTTGAGAGTTCCAAAAGTGCCGCGTTTCTCAACTTCAGTGAGGTTGAGAGGAGTGAACTTCAAACTGCCAAAATTCCCCAGGAGGGGGGATTCTGGGAATTGGAGTCCTCCTATCTTAAAGCCTGCTGGCTGGGGAATTCCAGGAATTGGAATTCGTGCATCTTAAAGCATGCTAGGGAAATTTGGATGTTGGTCTACACATTTTTTAAAAAAGTTGCTGAGGTTCAGAAATACTGCAGTAGACTATAAAGAGGCATAACCGTGGGAATGATATCGGGAAGGGCGACTATGGCCAATAGATAAAGATACACAAAAATAACAGTAAAGTCTTGTGAAGATTAGTAGGCCAGGAGTTCCTGCAGAATATAGCAGGCATCCTAATTGTGAGTAGTGGAATAGTGACCAAAGTTAGATTCCAACCGCCAGAGCAGTGAGGAAAGTGGGCCCATGCCTTATCTCTACTTTTGCAGCAACATACTCCCTAGGCAGCATTCAAAACCATCTCCCCTATGCAGATTGCAACGCATAGGGGAGGTAGGAGGCAGAAGTGGTATTCAGCAGATTCTGACCAGTTCTGGAGATCCAGTAGCAGACATTTTGAGTAGTTCAGAGAACAGGCAAATACCACCCCTGACTGGATATTTTACAGTGTCCTTCCCCTGACATACCCACCAAACCACGCCCACAGAACTGGTAGTAAAAGAAAAATGAATCCCACCACTTGTAGGAAGTATTAGCTGTTGCAAAAGAGAAAATCAAATACTTTGATATCAAAATGCCTCAGCCCAACACCAGCAGCGGGCTGTACAAGATTAAGATCCCAGTATGGAGAAATATCAATAGCATTTACACTTACATACAGCTTCATAGTGGTTTACAGCCCTCTCTAAGCGGTTTACAGAGTCAGCAAATTACAGACCCCCAACAATCTGTGTCCTCATTTTACTGACCTCAGAAGGAAGGAAGGCTGAGTCAATCTTGAGCCAGTGAGGATTGAACTCCTGGCAGTGGGCAGAGTCAACCTGCAATACTGCATTCTAACTACTGCACCACCATGGCTTCTAAATGCTCCCAAACAGTAAGTGACTCAGCCAAATGCCACAAGATAGTCACATGGATAAACCCTATTTGAAAAATTATAATAAACTGCACCCTTTAGTAGGTAAGCAAATGACCACATAGATAACCTGAGGAGAAATCACTCCAAATAAGTTTTTGCTCTACTTTTAACATTTCTTCTTCTTCTTCTTCTTCTTTTTCTTCAGCGTTTGTCTCTCGCTCGGGCGAGGTCCGCTAATGTCCTTGAGTACTGCTTCCACACCTCTCTGTCTGCCACGCGTGTCGGGTCTGCCTTCGCGATCTCTAGATCGGCCTTGATCGTGTCCATCCAGCGTTGTTTAGCTCTACTTTTAACATTTATAACTTAAATTTATCATAATGTCAATTTAAAGAATGACATTGATTTAAAGAGAGGGAATGTTGTTGTTTAAGGACATTGGGACAACTATTTTCCCATCATCTCTTCACCAGTAATCAATATTTTAGTAACTTCCTATTCAGCTGTTTCATTCTAGGAGTTCCTTCCAAGGACAATTACTTTCACAAAAGTACTAAAAAATACGTAGCAGGGCTTAAGTCATCAAAGTGAAGAGATTGAAATCTTGGCTTTAATTAAAGTACAGGTTAAAGTGAGGGTAAAGGACAGTGAAACTAGTTAATTATTTAAGGACAGCCTTAATTAAAAACTGTTCATGGGAACTAGGGGGCAGCAGCACCAAGGTGATCTTGGCTGATCTTAGACGAACTCTAGGTTGTAGACTACCCTGGGCAAACCAAAAGGAATAAAACAACGATCCAATCCAAACCTTGAAGAAGGTTGTTGCAATCTGCTTTCGTACTATCAAAAAAACTATACTGAAATGACCATGTGTGTTACTAGGAATTGAGCTCAATTCAGCGATTGCTTACTTTGAAAAACTAAAAGCTAAAAATCCTGACTGCTCATTTTATGGATTTCTGTAGCTAAACTATTTACAGACAGTCAGTTGTAAGTCAAAACAATATATTATTTTCTTCTGTTCAATTGCATCCAATTTTTGGAGACTGCCTCAACAAGCTAGATGTTGGCAAGGGAAATCAGGAGGCTTTGCAGAAATAATAGAAAGGGATTTTTACAGTACTGGATCTTTGGTGTAAATGCTAGTACCAATGTAGTTTTTTTTTATCTTACATTTCTATTTCCATTCAGAGATACTCTACATGGAAGAAGATACACCCATCCTATCGGGCTCAGTTTTACAGTCAGTTTCACTTCCTATAAGAAATAATTTGTTTATAGATCACCTTGTGATCTGTATTGTACAACTGAGAAATGAACATTTTCCCTTCCATCACAGCATCAATTAATAATTTGTACAGAATGGAGGGAGAAAATATCTGTACGAAAGGAATTTATTTGCTCTTGGTTTCCCCCCAAACTAAGTTCCAGGATCAATACATTTATTAAAGTACAGGTAGTCCTTGACTTATGACCACCATTGGGAGCAGAATTTTGATCGCTAAGAAATGAGGTTGTTAAGCAAATTATTGCACGACTGGATCCAATTCTACTATCATTTTAACTGTGGTCATTAAGCAAATCACATGGCTGTTAAGTGAATCATATGATTGATAAGTAAATCTGGCTTCCCACTGGTTAGAAGTCAGCAAGGAAGATCACAAATTGCAATGATGTGACCATTTAAAATATAGCAATAATTTTAAATGTGAATTGGTTGCCAATCACCCAGATTGTAATCATGTACCCAAGGGGATGGTGCAATGGTCATAATTTTGAGGACAGGTCATAAGTCACCTTTTCTGGGACCAATGTAACTTTGAACTACCATTAAATGAGTGGCTGTAAATTGAGGATTACCTATACTTCATTTTGAACTCATAGATCAAGGGTCTTTAAACTTGGCATGTTTAAGACTTGTGGACTTCACCTTCCAGAAATCCTAAGCTAACAATGACTGGAGGAGGAATTCTGGGAGTTGTAGTCCACAAGTCTTAAAGCTGTCAAGTTTGAAGACTCCTGTCATAGATACTTTGAGTGTTGTCCTAAGGGAGCATTATTAGTGGTTGGATGATAAGAACAATAAAAAGGAAGATCAGAGGGAAATCTCAAAAGGTGCTTTTTCAAAAGGCTGGATATTGTTTTTTTCAAACAACTGGACATTGGTTTTTGCTTGAGGAAGACATTTTGCTTCTCATCTAAGAAGCTTCTTCAGTTCTGAATAGAGTCAAAACTGAAGAAGCTTCTTGGATGAGAAGCAAAATGTCTTCCTCAAGGAAAAAAACAAAGTTCAGTTGCCTTCTGAAAAAGCACCTTTGAGACAATCATGACTGTGATATGACTCAGAATCTCCACAGGTAATTAAAGGGAAATGAAATATAAAGAGTTCAGTCAGGACATGTTACTTATAGAGATACTAGCCATTCATAGAATAGTTGTTTGGTGTGCCACAAAACATTTTCCCACTGATTGGCATAGTGCAGTGGGATAATGACTTTCTCATGTGTTAAACAAAGATAAATATCAGAACTAATGGCTTTTAAGTCAGCTTTTTGGGAATGAAGTTGGTCACTGTAAAACTTCAATGTAGTGATGGGATTCAAAAACTTTTACTACCAATTCTGTGGGCGTGGCTTGGGTGTGATATGGCTTGGTGGGTGTGGCTTGGTGGGCATGGTAGGGGAAGGATACTGTAAAATCTTCATTCCCTCCCCACTCCAGGGAAAGGTTACTGCAAAATCCTCATTCCCTCTCCACCCCACTAACCTGCTTTCCAGCTCCATTGTCCTGTGCAGGGCAACAAAAGAAGACCCAGCCGATCAGCTGGGACTAGGGAGGCAGTGAATAGATGGGGGTGGGGCCAGTCAGAGGTGGTATTTGCTGGTTCTCCAAACTACTCAAAATTTCCGCTACCGGTTCTCCAGAACTAGTCAGAACCTGCTGAATACCACCTCTGCTTCAATGGCAAGGGGATTCTCTGCCTGCTTGCTTGCTTTCCTTATTATTTCTGAACAGTTCTCATAGAAAAAGCGGCTCCATTCTGGTGTCCTGTCCTTTTCACTATTTTTTTTTTTTTTTTTGCAGTTCACAATGAAAGCCTTCCAACTCAGCATGCCCCTGGCTTTTCTTGTGCTCCCATTCTTTGTGCTTGGGGCTCCCAGTGAGGAGCTTGGCCGGCAAGAAGTCCCTACCAGCTTGAGTGGTTGCAAGAGATGTTGTGATTCTCTAGATGTCCCTGGGACCTCCGAAGGTGGAGACAGACCTCAAGCGTTGCCATTCGTAATGCCAGAAGTTCGTCCATATATCAACATCACAATTCTGAAAGGTAAGCAATTATCATCTGTTTCTGACTCATGCTACCTTCTCATTGTTTTCCTCCTCATTTCACTTCTTCACCTAAATCAAATTGGAAACTTCCCTGGCAGAGTCTTGTGATTTGTTTATTTGCCTTAGTCAGTCATCATGTATACACGTGCATCCTGTTTCCCAAGCCAATAACTGTCAACCACCGTGGAAATGTTTATTTAGTGAAAGAATAATTGCCCACATTAAACCTTTAGTTGTATATCCCTCAGCTGTACTGGCCAAACATGTTGGGAAATAAGTTCAAAACCTCTGGAATGACAAGTTGGAAAATTTTGCTATAAACTCTCATTTGGTTAAAAAGTCTACAGTTAACATAGGTAGGACCAAAACATGCCATTTCCTCAGGCAAAATTAAAGCACATTTAATAAAGATAAAACAGAGGCCTGCTAGAGAAAGTGTAGCCTGTATGTTTTACTTAGATACAGGTTAAACTTCTCCATCTGGGTCATTCAAGCATCTCCTCAGGGCAAGATCTGTTACCACATGTTCTATCATATCCTGCATCATACACATACACCCCTCTATGTTCCACCTCCCTTTCTGGAATTTTATAGTATCCTTTAATTATGGTTGCTAGAGATGCTACATATGCATGAAAATACATTGTATGGAAGGATTTTGGAACCACCCACAAGCAATGGTTGTCTTCCACAGCTTCTCCCTTTTTTCCCTTCTCTTTTCCACAGGAGAAAAAGGAGATCAAGGAGAGTCTGGAGTTCCTGGGAAATGGGGCAAAGAGGGACCCCCTGGTGATCAGGGACCCCAGGGTCCAAAGGGCAGCAAGGGACAAATGGGGGCACCTGGAGATCCCTGCAAGCACCAGTATGCAGCTTTCTCAGTGGGCAGGAAGAAGGCTCTTCACAGTAATGAAGGCTACCAGGCTTTGATCTTTGACACTGTCTTTGTGAACCTCTATAGCCACTTTGACATGTTTAAGGGTAAGTTCTACTGCTACGTGGCAGGCCTGTATTTTTTCAGTCTCAATGTCCACACCTGGAATTTCAAGGAGACCTACATGCACGTCATGCGGAATGACCAAGAGGAAGTCATTCTCTATGCTCAGCCCAGTGACCGCAGCATCATGCAAAGCCAGAGTTTGATGCTGGAGCTGCGGGAGAACGATGAGGTTTGGGTGCGCCTCTACAAGCGACAGCGTGACAATGCCATCTACAGTGACGATGTGGATGTCTACATCACTTTCAGTGGTTATTTGATCAAGCCCAGTCTTGAATAGTTGTTTCCATCCAAAGCACAAATTCAACCTCTAAACATCCTCTTGATTTCCTGTGAACGTCTGCAAATAGTACAGAATATGACCAACAGATCTGAAAACAGAGAGAGAGCACTGAAGAAAACTTTTTTTTTTCTTTTGAAAATGCCAACTGAAAAAAAAATATTCATGGATCAAAAAACATTCCAGAAAAGTCTTGCTGGTTTATGTGTCCTTCTCAACACTAGATCTGATTGTAACGTATGGACTGGGAATCCTAAGCAGCCTCATAAAATCTCTGCTAACTCAGAATCATTTTGTAAACATCTTTGTTTGGACATAACACTTCCTAAGCAGAATGTTCTAATTTAGATTGTTTACATGAAGTAAACTCTTTGAGGTATCTCAAGTGAGATAAGCTACCATATCTTATCTACAAATCTACAAACCAAATGTAGATCAACCAAAATATGTTATTTTGGCATTTCAAGTGCCTGACAGCCCTCTTCTTTTTGCTAAGAATTCCTGGTGGGAAGCCTTGTATGACTGATAGTTGCCATCACCTTCACAAAATTTACATTTGTAAATGTTCTATAGGGTTAGTAAATGTAATTCTACATCTGTGTAATGGACATGTGCATTTGTGCATCAGTGCAATGGACATGTAATACACTGTATAACACTGCAGGGATCTTTTCCATCACTATGTTAAACATATGCAGGATTAGGATTTAACCCAGGGTGGCAAAAGAGTAGAAATAATGCTTCCAACTTATCCCCCAAATCAGAATTGATGATAGAATTAGTGATTGGGGCTGGGTCAAAGAGGTAAATTCTTTGAAGGATGTCTACATAGCACCTGGCAGTAACTTCTGAAAGCTAAGAGATCTGTTTCAGAGATCATGCTGCAACTGTGCAATACTAGGAAAAGATATAGCTGTTTTAAGATATTTCCAACATGTGTTATATGATGCTGCGAGGAATCTTTACCCTTCAAATCTAAGACACTATGCAGCCACTACTGGTTAGCTGGGTAAACAATTAATTGTAAGGGCAAAGGATCCCAAAGAATTATAAGCAAAAGAAAGATACAAGTTGCTTTCATATCAGCTTCTCTCACTGAGGGCAGCAAGTGCCATTTCTACATATGAAGAATTCTTTTGTTAAAGCTACAAAAGAAATAGGCTACTTCTAGGATGGAAAAAAACATGAAGGAAAGAAAGTTTCTTGAAGGAACTTTTACATTTTGATTCCACATGTGAGCCTTGCCATAAAATATGGCAAAGTGCATACTCATTCAAGATGCAGCATACCTCTTCCAGGAAAAATCATTTTATTTTCTCTCTTTCTTAGTTTTCCATTCCCCTGCTCTCCCAAGAGTCACTGTCAAATAAGTGCAAAATATGCTGTTTGGAGAATGGAACATTTGGAAGAACCATCCATGCAGTAATTCAGAGGGTGGCCTGAAACTTAGCCTTCCAAGTGGAAGTGTCCATCCAGATTTTTTTTTTCTCCATCACAGCAGGATAAATCACAGTTGTTCAAGAGGATATAAAGGCACATTTCTTTTCCTAACAATCCCAATTTCCACTCTGCAATTAAGTATAAGTTAGATGACCCCCCCCCCCTCTTTTATTTCCCAAAGCACTGCTTATCTGTTAAATGGGAATTATAATGCTGACCTACTTTGGAGAGTTGTGGTCAGGATATTATCAATCATCTTCTATCAATATGGTACCTTGCAGATAAGGCAAGATTACAACCTCCAATGTATCTGTTGCAGTCCAACATACCTGGAGATGCCAGTTTGGGGAATATTGCTTTAAGTAAAGCACTGAGCATTTCCTAAATGTGACTTAGATGCTAAAGAATTTCTATTACAATGCACTGTATGTTAACAATATTTTTTTGTGTATAGATGGGGAACATACACAGACCCAGCTATATACATTTGCTGCCTATTCCACTCACAGGTAACCAAGTAATTGCAAACCAAGAGGCTTCTCAGTTTATTTTTTAAAGGAAATGGACAGGACATGCATTTTTATTTTGACCCAGTGGGTAACCTTGTAAGGCAGGCTATGGGAAGTATCAAGATGCCTGTTTTTGTAATACAGGGAAAGCTGTAGCTGATTGCATAACAATCTGAATTCCTTCTCTCTGCAAAGTAGTACTTTAAAAACCAGCTGTTGGCTATATGCAACACATGGCGTCCCTGTGTCTCCAGAGGGAACAACCAGAATTTCTAGAACTGAATTGCTTCCAGATGTGAGAACTGAACTCTTTGAGCCTTTGCCTCCATTCCTGTCTCAGCAGAAGTGCTTCTATTGCGAAGCAGTGTCTAATGTTACAAGGACAAAGTTTGTGTATAGTTGATATGAGGCTATAGGCCTACTTTTTGGTGCTATATAAAACCTTTATAATTCTGGGTGCTAAAGAGGCCTTTTTGATGCAATATTTGAAAAATATTTTTAATTTGCTGGGAGATACATTGGGGATAACATAAACAAGAAGGCCTATGGAATTTATGGTGCTTTGTGGAAATAAACAATGGTTTGTGTGTATATATGTGTGTATCTTTTAAATATTAAAACTTTTTGATTGCACTTTGAGTTGTCCTTTTCTTTATGGGGCTTTTTTTTCCTAAGACAAAGATTTTCTATTACAAAATTTTAGCATCCTTGGGAAGAGTACAAATATCACTTTTGGTGGAAATATTTCTAAAATATAGGAAAACCAGCATGCAGAATGATGAGAGAAAGCCATTTTACACACACTGTGAAAGGAGTGTTTAAGGCATGAGGAAAATGAGAATAATAAACAATTTACATTTGTTGTCAAACACCCCAGGGAACCTCTTTTAATGCATTGGCCTACCTTGCAGGAACTGAAAAGATTGAAAAGAAGACAGTATAATTTGATTACTAGTTACTAGGAGTTATCTAGTTGGAAGCATCCTCAAATGTGGCTAGCTTTGCCTAAGGCTCAGATTGATCATGTGTAAAAAACTCATAAGTAGAGTGCAAAGTGTCTACAAAAGGGGTGAAAAGAGATACAAAGGGAGAAATAAATCCCTGAATTCTTCCACAACTACACACAGATGTAGTAAATTTGTGATGAATTGGAATTTTGATTAGGAAAACTATTGGGAAAAAAATCTAGTTTATGATTTTGTGTAGATTTGTTTTCCTTGTATCACACAGTCTTTGTAGTAAAATGATAGCAGTGTTAAAAAACAAGATCTGCTCAGTTTGGGGGCACTTGTGCTCAAATTCAGCTACTGACCATTTGGGGGAAAATCCTTAAAATACTGTTCTTAAATAAGTTGCATGGAGAATCAGTGTTCTCTGTACAGCTTGCAAGTGCTGAAAAATATTCATCACTTCACAAGTTGTAGGATGAAAATTTACAGAAAATGGGAGCTTTTATGTGAAAATGCAATGTATGTCCCACTTTCCTTTTCTTCAGCATATATTGAAATAAATATGTCTTTTCTAGGATTTTAACAAATATCACTCCAAATACTAAATTTACTGTCATGTACAATGCATACATTGCATTAAGACTTACAATCAACATATTAAATTTAAGAAAAATAAAAGCATTATGAAAACATACTTCATATTAATATTCTTTTTCTTTCTTTTTTGGAGAACCAAAATAGTCATAGGCTCCAGCTAAGAATTTGTGTGAAATCAGATATGCTACTGGCAATTCTATTTTGCATGTATATTTATTCTTTTTGTCTATATAAAATAGATAAAGGTCTGATTTTAGCATCAAATATATGTGAATTGTCTTGACTCCATGACTTGACTGCTTGAAGGAGTCCCTGCAGTATTTTTGGCAAGATGTCAGAATTCGTTTGTCTAGGATTGGCAGAGAGCAGTTAGCCCTAGCTGGCTTTGTGCCTAAGGCAGGACACAATCTCTAGCCTTAACCTCCCTTTCTCTTTTCCTTTCTCCATCCATCCATCCATCCATCCATCCATCCATCTCTCCCTCCCACCAGAGTCTTGTAATTGAGGTGGCATTGTAGTTGTATAAAATAAATGATTGGATGTGATAAGATGATAGGTAGGTCAGTTCAACTGTCTTTTCAACATTCAAAAAACCAAGCATGTTATTTATACAGGATGTCTTGACAAAATATGTCTGGTGGTAGTATGTCTATTTTGGCCCTAAATATCGACCCCAATTTGTGGTTTCCTCTTTCCTACATGTTTTTCATCTGATAAAAATCTACATATACAGAAGTAGTTTTTGAAAGAAAGTGTTTCTTGGAACAGAGGTGGTTGGGGTTTTACACTTAATCTAGGCCAACCAGGGCTATCTCAAGAATAGCCTGGACTGGGTGTCTTCTTCAAGTTACTTCATCCATCTGTCATTCCTAGTAAGTCTGTTAGATGATGGCAAAACCAAGGATCTGATGGAGTGAGCAATATGCAAAATCCATGTGGCAGGATAATAGTTCTATTATTAAAATCCATAATAGACCAGTTGTGAGTTCTAGCCTATATGTTGAAGATTTGCTGCATTCTAGTATTGAACTATAATGTGATTCTTTTTTAAAAAAATTTTTTTATTGTTTTTTGACATACAAACAAACAGACAAAACATAAAAACATCAGCTCCCCCATATTTATATACAAACAGTGAGTCGGTTGGTTCATCAGTTTTGTGCACTCCTCTCATAGTCACAATTACAATTACCTTGTATAATAACTCTTATTGTCAATACAAACTTATAAATCATAATATCACTATTAAAAAAAAGAAATTTGACTAAACTTTTGTTCGATCATGCCTTTGTGAGATAACTATATTTTAAGTAATTTATTCTAAAACAAATCATATAATTGTGCCAATTCTATCCTAAATAAGAGAAAAAAAGGAAACAGAAAACTATTATATAAATATAATATCCAGTGCCAAAAAAGAGAAAAGAAAAATAAAATCAATATTATTCCTTATTGTCTAACATTTCTATTTTTGTATTTCATCATTCAACCATTGATAAAAAAGATCCCAAACTATATAAAATTGTTTATCTTCTTGCTCTCTGATTTCAAAAGTCAATCTACTCATCTCAGCACATTCCAATATTTTCTTTATGACTTCTTCCTGCAATGGAATTTTCTCATTTTTCCAATTTTTTGCAAATACAATCCTAGCCGCAGTCAATACATTTACAATCAAGTATTTCAACTCTTTACTATAGACATCTGGTAAGATTCCCAATAAAAAAAGCTCCGGTTTTAAGTCTATGTGCTTCTTAGTCATTTTTTCCAACCACATGTGGATTTTAGTCCAATATTTTCTAGCGTCCTCACAAGTCCACCACATATGGTAGTATGAACCAGGTTTCTGATGACATTTCCAGCATTTTTCGGATTTGTTCTTGAACATTCTTGCTATCCTTGTCGGGGGAAAATGCCACCTGTAAAACATCTTATACAAATTTTCTTTAAAGGCTGTAGACATTGTCATTTTATAATTTTGCAACCATAATTTCTGCCATTTCTCTAAGTCAATCCCATATCCAAAATTCCTCCCCCAAGCAATCATAGTTTCTTTAACTTGTTCTTCCTCCAGCTTAATTTCCAATAAGTAACCATATAATTTTTTAATCACCTTTTCATCAGTACCCATCAAAATCTTATCTAAATCAGTTTGTTTATCATAAAATCCCTCTGCTTTGGAATCCTCATAATACTTTGAATGTATTTGCAGATATGAAAACCAATTCATCTGTATACCTTGTTCCTCTAATTTTTGCA